TGCCTCAATATCTGGTTTGGTGGAAGTAGTTGCACTTCTCAGTGTGTTCTCAAGGTGCTCATCAGATATTTTGCTTCTAATTTTACTCATAATATGCTTTATTCGTGAAAGTGGTTGGTTGAAAATGTAGGTGCAGCCAAAAAGCAATGACATGAATAAGGCATGATTGTGAAGTGAGAGATATTTGTCTTTGGAAAGGTAGGATCTATAAAAGTCCAGTAAAGAGACATGATCAGATTTTTCTTTTTAACTTGAGTGGTGGATGATAACTCTATGTATTCCATTTGAAAATTGGCAGATAACATATCTTGATCAACACATGTCATGTAGCCTCTGGAAAACTCTACACTGTACTCAAGTCACTGTACTTATGTCTTGGAAATTTTTAAACCTGTTTTCAGATTCTCATATCAAATCAAAAAGCAAAGCTGTGTATTTTTTGCTGTTCTCAGGACTGTGTTTATTAGCTGATGTGTTGAATTGCATAAAATTGTTTGCCTTAATTTGAGCTGGCCATAATTTCAGTTTCATTTGGAATGCTGTTAAGGTTTAAAACATTGTATTGATGAGTTGGTTTTCACCTTGAAGACACTTGTTTAAGTCATTTAAATGAGCAGTTAAATCTGCTAAAAATACTAAACCTGTAAGCCAGTTTTTGTCATCAAGTTCTGCCACAAATTTGGTTTTTGATACCATGAACAACTTGATAATATTTAGCAAATCATAATCTTTTCAACACTTGGCCTAGACTTAGCCAACTTACTTCTGAAAAGTAAATGATGTGACTATAGTCATTATTGCTATTTTTACTGGAATTGGTGATGATTCAATCCCTTGGCGCTTAGGAAATTCACAGTCTTAATGATGATTTGTATGACATTATCCATTTTTAAAGCTTTTGTGCATAAATTTTCTTGATGTACTATGCAACAATCCTTCATCAAATGTGAGTTTGGGGCAACAATTGCATTGTTTTCTATTAATTTTACAAATCCTTCTCTTTTACTTACCATTGCTAGGGCACCATCAGTAACTATACCAGATATGGTGACAATGGAAAAAAATTGCTTTAACATATTTTTCATACCATCGTATAAATCTCTTGATTTAGTCGTATCTTTCAATGGAGCTAAAAAAGCCATTTATTCAGTGACATTATGTTTGTCATCAATACCTCTAATAATAGTGGCATGTTGAGCCATGTTTGTAGCAGCAGCCCTGTCATCTATCACCAAAAAATAAAATGTAAAATTAGCAGCTTTACTCCGAACTTCTTTTGATAGATTTTTCCAATTTTTTCAGTTCACCTGGCTGTAGTCTGGTGAGATAAACTGATTTTAGAAATATCCCCCTTTAAAACCAGAGATGCTGGCGTGGGTGTGGAGAAAAGGGAACACTCCTACACTGCTGGTGGGAATGTAAACTAATACGTTCCTTTTGGAAAGACATCTGGAGAACACTTAGAGAACTAAAAATAGACCTGCCGTTCAACCCTGCAATTCCTTTATTAGGTATATTCCCAGACGACCAAAAATCGCATTACAACAAAGATATTTTTTTCAGAATGTTTATTGCAGCCCAATTCATAATTGCAAGGTCATGGAAGAAGCCCAAGTGCCCATTGATCCCCGAATGGATCAACAAACTGTGTTATATATGCACCGTGGAATATTATGCAGCCTTAAAGAAAGATGGAGACTTTACGTCCTTCATGTTCACATGGATGGAGCTGGAAAATGTTCTTCTTAGCAAAGTATCACAGGAATGGAAGAAAAAGTATCCAATGTACACACCCCTATTATGAAATTAATTTAAACCTTTTATATGAAAGCTATAAGCTAATAACAACCTAAGGATACGGGAAGGGGGGAGGGAGAAGGGAGGGGGGAATGGGTGGAGGGAGGGGGATTCGAGGATTCACTTCTGTGGTTTATCTTACAAGGGTACAAGTGAATCTTTCTATGAGTAGAATATGAATGTTTTAACACAATAATTAAGAAAATTACATGAAGGCTATGTTAAAAAAAAAAAGAAATATCTCCCCTTTTTCCAGGGCAGATTATACCTTCTGTGCTTTCCATACATTGCCTAATAAACTCACCATCAGTAAACGATTTAGATTTTTTTGTTAATAACTATGCTACCACATAATTCGCTTTTACAACAGAATCTAGCTGAGTTATACCTTTAAAAAAAATTGTTGAGAAGATAAACTTCTTCAATTTCACTATTTTGTCCTATGACACAATCCTTCATATGCATTGAATTTGGCAGCATGTTTTTGCATAAAACGCCTTTTCAAATTATAGTCTTTGAAAACTTGCACAAATTTCCTACAAATTAAGCAGAGAGTCTTACCATTTGCCTCCACAAAAACGTGGTCAGTCATCTGTCCACTTTTCTTTGACCAATATTCCTTTGTCCATAATTTTTTTTTTGTTTTTTTTAGTTTTTGGCCTGGATTGGGTTTGAACCCGCCAGCTGCGGCATATGGGACCGGTGCCCTACCCTTTTGAGCCACAGGCGCTGCCACCTGTAATTTTTCTTTTTGTGGGTTCTGTTTTCTTTTGAGTGGTTGTAGAAGCTAGGATTAAAAAAGGTAATAATAGATAAAGGACTGTATTTACTTATGAAAATTAATTGACAGGAATATAGACAGCAAGATTGGGGTCCTTCCATATCTCATCTGTTGATGCAGGACAATGACTGATTGTAAAGTGTGGTGGGCGGACAATGTGTGAGTTCCTGTCGAGGTGTGCAGGTGTCCTTAATAGTCAAGGAAGAATGCTTACCTGATTTCTAAATAACATTGAATGCCTAATGTTGCAATGGTAGATTGAAGTATTATTGATAATTGCCGCCTCACCAAGTTACCAGGAATATCTGTAACATCTGGTGGTGTCAACTTGACCATCTGTGCTGTCAACTTGACCATCTGGGGAGATAGATAACTGGCTGGAAGCTGCATACCACTATAAAACTGAAGTCATGTATGTGTACAGATAGCAAGGGCATATGTTTATTTTATGTGACATTGCTACATGACGTTGTTGTCTACAAAGTTCATGCTCAAGAACCATGCAGTTGAGTTCTATCAAAAAAATTACAAAAAATTGCCATCATGTGTTAAGTAAGTTTACAATTTGTGTTTAACCACAAGCGGCCTGTGGGCTGTGTGTTCAACACCCCTGTTTTATACTTACACATGTTTATTTGCTCATGAGTATTGTGTTATAAATGGTTCTAATTACATAGCAAGTACAAAACTAATTTTTTTTTTTTTTGAGACAGAGTCTCACTATGTTGCCCTTGGTAGAGTGCAGTGGCATCATAGCTCACATCAACCTCAAACGCTTGGACTTAAGTGATTCTCTTGCCTCAGTTTCCCAAGTAGCTGGGACTACAGGTGCCTGCCACAATGCCTAGCTGTTTTTCAGTTGTGTCATTGTTGTTTGGCAGGCCCAGGCTGGATTCGAACCCGCCAGCTCCAGTGCATGTGGCTGGTGCCCTAGCTGCTGAGCTACAGGTGCCGAGCCCAAAATTAATTTTTAACTAGTGTCTAAGATACTTAAGTTTTTGTTGAAATTATCTTTCTTTTTAAAAACCCAATATTTAGAAAATGTGTTCATCTACATTAAAGTTGCATTTTTTTACATTGCAGTTCCTCAGTTTGAAACTACATGTAGTTACGTAGAAGCTACACTTGAAGAGTTTCTGTCCTGGAACTGTGACTATTCTAGTCTTTCTGGACCATTTAGAGATTATGATCATTCCAAATTCTGGGCTTATGCTGATTATAAATATTTCATAAGTCTATTTGAAGACAAGACAGATATTTTCCAGGTAAGTGAGTGCATTTATTTTATTCTTGGTAAGAATTTGTTCTTGAGAAAACATTACAATTTAGAATCTTTCTAGCATCTTCCTTCATTGCCTTTTCCTCTCGTAAGTAGTCACTATGAATCTTGAGTATTTTACCTATTCAAGTCAAATGATTTGCTCAAGAGAAGTGTAACATTTGCCTCACACAGATGGGCAGCCTTCTCTTTTTCCTACTCACAGAAACGCCAGCACACCCTTCCTTTGCCTCCTTTGCCTATAAACAGTGTCTGAGTTGGTTTGGAGCATTTTAGAAGCATAGATTCTGTAGAAAACTTCATTTCTTCCTGACTTCCATGTAAGTTCTTGTTCAGTCAGTGAGGCAGATGGAAGTAGAAAGCTGACTGCAAAGAAGCTTTCCTCAAGCTGTGATCAGGCCGCTGCTGCCACTTTGCCTGCTCTGAGAGTTCAGGACAGTTATTTTCACTGGTGGTTTATGACTCAAGACTGGCTCCTAGTCTTCGGTAGTAGAAACCCTGCGGAAGTGTGGGAGTGACTTCGCCATGTGTTGACATAACTGACAGCAGTTTCCAGACTACCTCTTTCCTTCACATGTTTTCTACCTCAAACTGCCAGTTTATTTCGTGGTGTGATTTGTAATCTCTCTGCTCTGTTTTCTTTGTGTCTTCAGTATGGGGCAAAAAGGGGAGCAGTTTGGATGACTCTGCCTTGCCCCTACTTCAGCCAAGGCTCTGGAATCCCTTATCCTGCCCCTAGTGCTTTGTGAAGAGAAGTATTTCATCATCACTTAGGCTGGCAGCACCTGTGGCTCAGTGAGTAGGGCACCAGCCCCATATGCTGAGGGTAGCGGGTTCAAACCCGGTCCTGGCCAAACTGCATCAAAAAAATAGCCGGGTGTTGTGGCAGGTGCCTGTAGTCCCAGCTACTTGGGACGCTGAGGCAAGAGAATCGCCTAAGCCCAAGAGTTGGAAGTTGCTGTGAGCTGAGACCACGGCACTCTACCGAGGGTGACAAAGTAAGATTCTGTCTCTAAAACAAAATCATCACTTAGTACCAGGCATCCTCAAACTACGGCCTGCGGGCCACATGCAGCCGTCCTAGGACATTTATCCGGCCCGCCAGTCTTTTACTGCTGCTGCCTGTCCCACTTAGCAGCCAACTCGTCCGGGGGCCCGCAGTCTGGCCCTCCAATGGTCTGAGGGACAGTGAACTGGCCCTCGGTTTAAAAAGTTTGAGGACCCCTGACCATTACTCCCCTGCTCCTCTCCAGCCTGTCATTATCACCCCTCTCTGGACATTCCTCTCACAGAGGCTGCTAGCTCTTTGGTTCCCGAGTAGTTTCCATTCAGCTTACGTTTTTCTTCTCACGTTGAGTCAAGATGTAAATGCTAATGTTTACCTGGTTGTTATAGTACACCTACCAATATTTTGTAGCTTTCCTTTATTAATTTTTTTTATTTTTTAGGAATGGGATCTCTTCTATGTTTCTCAGACTAGAGTCTAAGTCCTGGGTTCAAGATATCCTTCTGCTTCAGCCTTCTAAGTAGCTGGACTACAGGCATGCCAACACACCTGGCTTAATTTTGCTTTTTATTTTTTAAAAAAAAGGAGGAAAAATATGCAGCATTGCTTTGCCCTGTAATCATTAGTTGAGGATATATTTTTATTCTCACAGCCATGAAAAAAATACATTTGTTTTGAAAGCATTCAGTAAATGGTTCTGAATCCCAAACCCCTACCAAGTCTACTATTTATTCATTTTTTAATGATAATTTTGAGGTAGGTGTCTTTTTGTATAACCTTAGTTGTGATCACTATTGTTCTTTAATTAAAGAACCTGAAACATGTACGAACTCATAGTTAACTTTTTTAGTACTCAGTTAGATTTCTTATACTCCCCACTTGCCACTCTGTGGATTAATCTAGTCCTTCTTCCTTCATATTTCATGTAAACATTGAAACATGTAACAATACTTACTTGATCTTGTTACTTTTCTGGGTACTTTACATTTACAATCCTCAAAGTAACTCCATGATTTGATAATTGTCCCTATTTTTAAAAAAAATGAGGCCGAAGAGGTTAAGTAAACCTTTTCCAAGATTATATAATTAAGAAGGGGATAATCCTAATAGTCTGCCTCCAGAGCTTTAATTACTACTGTGCCTACTGAGGGATCAAGTACATTCTGCCCTTTTGGGTCTCTGCAGATGGTACTGGGGCCTTCCACCTATCCTGAGAGTAGGGTCACTCTGCCTTGATGGAATCTCTGATTTGACCCCATCAGTTGTTCTGTCCCATACCAGGCAAGGCAGCACTAGCTAGAAAAGTGACCTGTCTGTTAAGTGTGAATACAAAAGGCAGCCTTTTGATAATGTTAGAATTCTAATTGAGCCCTTATAAAATCTGATATTTTTAGTTGAATGAGTTTTCTGTCAGCTCACATTATGGCAGTTAATTCTGCTGTGAATAACCAATTCCATTAAGATTATATCATCTTTTATCTCCACATTTTCAGTGCACCAAATCTTCTTACATCATACTTACCTAAGTTGTTGTCTTGCTTTTTTTTATACTGTGATTCATTCAGTCACTAAGTCTTATTACATACTATTTCAAGCTTTTTATGTTTGTCATAAAATGGTGGGTAGTTAAACATTAAAACATTTTTTTTTTTTCTGAGACAGTGTTTCACTCTCTTGTCCTGGATAGAGGGCTGTGGTGTCATCAAAGCTCACAACCTTAGTCTATTTGGCTCAAGAGATCCTGTTGTCTCAGCACTCACTTCTAGTCCTGAGTAGCTGGGACTACAGGTGCCTACCGCAACATCCGACTAGTTTTTCTATTTTTAGTAGAGATGGGGTCTCACTCTTGCTCAAGCTGGTCTCAAACTCGTGAGCTCAAGCAATCCACATGCTTTAACCTCCCAGAGTGCTAGGATTATAGGTACAAGCCACCAGGCCCAGCCTACACATACTTATTAACTTGAAATAATGTCAATTATGTTAACAGAAATAATATATTTTTAAGAAAATGACTATATTAAAAAAAATTGGGGGTGTCATTAGAAAGGCTGATTGTTCTACATTTTTGTAAATTTAATGTCTGGTTGAAGAAGACAACTGGATTCTTTTTTTATTTTTAATTTTTAATTATTGTGGGTACATAATGGTTGTATATGTAGTATTTATAGGTTTCAGAAGATAACTAGATTCTTGTATCTGCTTCTCCATTCAAGCTGTTGCAATTTGTTGGTTTGTTTGAAGTATAGGAAGAAAATCTTGCCTCACACACATATGCAGCTGAAAAGGGGAGGAGTATTTTAACAGCCTTTTCAGATAATTGTAGATTTAACCACACAAACTTGACAAAGGGCAGTTTCTTAAAGGTTCGTTAGTTGCAATATAGTCTGAAACCATAATGAATGAACTCATTGAACTCCATTAATAAAATCTATTGGTTTGACTTACACAGGATAGATCTTATGTGATATCATTTGGGGCCTTTTGGAAAGTATTGGTTTACTGGGTTATTGTATGTTGTGTATAATGTGCTCCCATGTTTCTGGCCCAAACTTCTAGGAAAAGGTCCCTGAGAAAGTGGCTGACTGATAGCCAGGAGAGAC